AGGCGTCTGCTGCACGAACGCAGACGGAGTGTGCGTGCGTGTGCGTGCGTGCGTGAGTGTGTTACTCACCTATCAGGTCTGAGCAGACGGCAGGTTCTGCCGCCGCCGGCCAGCCAGGCGTCTGCTGCACGAACGCAGACGGGGTGTGCGTGCGTGCGTGCGTGCGTGCGTGTGCGTGCGTGCGTGAGTGTGTTACTTACCTATCAGGTCTGAGCAGACGGCAGGTTCTGCCGCCGCCAGCCAGCTAGGCGTCTGCTGCACGAACGCAGACGGGGTCAGCAGGGTCGTGATGTCCAGCAGGGTCGATGCGGCCGCACCGCCTCCGCCGCCGCTCCCTACTGCTGCTGCTGCTGCCACCACCTGCTGCTGCTGCTGCTGCTGCTGCTGCCGAGGAGAGAAATATCAGATGGTTAGAGATGGGTCTGACCACGAGAGAGCAGCTGAGAGATGAAATACATACACACGCGCGCGCACACACGCGCGCACGCACGCACACGCACTGTGCACTAACCCCACCCCCAAACCCCCCAGCCAAACTTAACCCAAGCAACGTGAGCGAGCCGCATCCGAGCGTGCGCGAGGGCGCCACCGCAGCTTACCGTCGTCGTCGTCGTGGCGACAGCAGCCATCGTTCTCAGCTGCTCGTCGATGGAGCTCTGCAGAACGCTGCCTCCTCCTCCTCCTCCTCCTCTTCCTCCTCCTCCGCCGCCGCCCATCTCAAACGCCGCCGGATTAATGAGCTCTCTCGAAGCCCACTCATCCCCGTCGGGCTCCCTCGACGTCCCCGCCGTCTCCCCCTCCGCCAGCAGGCGGCGCCACGCGCCCGCGTCGGCCTCCTCGTCCCGCGAGAGGGCGCCGCCGGCTTCCGCGCCGCGCGGGCTGATCTTCAGCTTCTGCTTCAGCTGCTCCTCGATAGATGGCGCCACGGGGCAGGTTGCCGTGGCGACGGCGGGCGGCAGCAGCGGGACGAGGGGTTGGGGGCTGTCGGGGATGGGTTCGATACGATGGGCGACCGATCTACCACTTCGCTGTTGCTTCTCCACCTACACACGCGTGGAATAACACACAACACGTCAGTGTACACCCCACAACACCACAACTTTACTAGCAGTAGCAGTAGCAGTATTATATAGTATGTAGTAGTAGTACTAGCAGTAGCAATAGCAGTATTATATAGTATGTAGTATGTAGTAGTAGTACTAGCAGTAGCAATAGCAGCAGTATATAGCAGTAGCAATAGTAATAGAAGCATCAGCAGCAGCAGCTGCAGCACCACCACCACCACCACCGCCGCCACCGCCACCACCACCACCACCACCACCACCACCAT